AGTGTATCAAATACTTGTTCTCCCCACTGTACTTGGATGTGTAGTGTCAGCAATTGTTGCTGTTATGTCATGCCTAAGTTTGCTAATCTTGCCAATGAAAAAATTATTAAAGTAGTTGGCAATATCAGTTGGTTTTGTGATGAATGAGCCATCTGATTCAATGAATGATGAAGCTGAGTTTGCCTTTTTTCCCTAAATTTAATTTAAGGTGCTCCAAAGCTTTTTACTATCATTCTTTATGTCATTTGTCCTTGTTTCATAGTGTTGTTTCTTCTTCTTTTTATTCAGTTTAGTCACATGATTTCTCAATTTGCAATATGTTTGCCAATCGGTTGTGCAGCCAGACTTATTTGCCATTCCTTTTGCCTCATCCTTCTCAACCATACAAATGTTCAACTCCTCATCAATCCATGGGGATTTAACAGTTTTTACATTTTCTTAATGGGTGCATGCTTATTAGTAACTGGAATAAGCTATTTCATAAATGTGTCAAGTGCCGTGTCTGTTTGCTCCTCATTACACACCACGGACCAACATATATTCTTTGCATCAACAACATAGGAATCACTACAAAACGTATTGTATGACCTCTTATACACAATATTAGGCCCAGCCTTTGGAACTTTGGTTTTCCTAGATTTGGCAACTATATTGTGAACACTACATCTGATAGATTTGGATACTGCTTTCAAACAAATCTCTGCAACATTAGTAAAGATATGATCAATACATGTTGATGATTTAATTCCTGTACTGTTTGTAACCACCCTGGTAGGTTGACTGATAACTTGAACCAGGTTGCAGGCACTGGTTACAGTTTGAAGCTTTCTCTTGAGTGGGCAGCCTGATGAAAGCCAGTCAATATTTAAATCACCCAGAAAGTATACCTCTCTATTGATATCACATACATTATCAAGCATTTCACACGTTATCCAGATACTGACTGTTAGCACTTGGTGGTCTATAGCAGCTTCCCACCAGAATTGGCTTTAGGTGAGGCAGATGAACCTGTAGCCATATTACTTCAACAATATTTAATATGAGATCCTCTCTAATCTTCACAGGAATGTGGTTCTGAATATAAACAGCAACACCTGCACCATTGGCATTTATATATTTTCTGTAAATGTTAAAACCTTGTATTGCTACCATTGTATCATCAAAGGTATTATCTAAGTGAGTTTCAGAGATAGTCAGAGTATGAATGTCATCTGTTACTAGCAAATTATTGATTTCATGAACCTTGTTTCTTAAGCTACATTTGTGAACGTGGGCTATTTTGAGCACTTTTCTTCTGGGATGCTTACTTGATTTTATTGCTTTACTGGGAAGCTTAGCAGCAGTAGATGTGCTCATGTTCTTTATGTTAGTGCAGGGTGAGCTGCACACAGTGGACTGCCTCCTCGGGCACACCGGCTCAGCGCTAACAGTATAAATCTGGTTCCTAGGCACATGATCACTGCACACAACAGCTGCAGAATCAGCAGAGGCACCCAGGGCAGCTAGAGGGACACAAACCAGGTTACCCACATTGTGTCTACCGACGCCCCTGATGTAATGTACATTTGCTGAAGCATTTTGACCACTCTGCATCACAATGGTAGGGATTAGCTGAGCTGGGCTTGGGTCATTGCTAAGTCATTGTCTCAACACAGCCTTATAATGCTGTGAAAGGATCCAGGAACCCAAATTATTTGGGTGAATCCCATCCTCCTTTCAAAAAGTGTTTTGTTTCCAAAAGGTATCAAAATTGTCAACAAAAGTTACAACCATTGAGCTGCAATAATCACGTAGCCAATTGTGAAGAGCAAAAATCTAAAGCGTTCAATGCCACGATTCAGAGAGGGCACAGGGCCAGATATGATGGGTTTTTTGTTAGTGTCTAGCAGAGAATCAGTCTAGCAGAGAGTCAATCAGCTCTTTAAAATCCAGTTTCAACTGTTCAGAGCTGTTTTTGCACCAGGAACAGTCACATTTCTTACCATGGAGCTTCCCAAAATCACGGCTGGCGAGAAGGACAAGGAAATCCACCCACTCCCATGCTTCACAGGATGGTGCAGGCCTCCGACAGATGGAGAATCACTGCTCAATCCAGAGCAGGGACGGAAGGTTGCCGACGTCGACTTCGAAATCGTAGTAGTAGGCACTGCGGCTGCAGACACAGGCACCCCCAGCAACGAAAGTGCAGAAAGATAAGGCTCAAGGACGGCGAAACTATTCGTTGTTTGTATCTGCTCCGGGCCTCTCGTTGGGAGTGTAGACTGCTTTGCGGGAGGTTGCTGTCTTCGGCTTCCATGGCTCGTGACATGCGACCATCGTTGATTGCCTTTCTCCTCATGCTGTGCGCCTTCGACGGCGCTATCAGATGGGGGAGCTCCGGGCATCACCGGCCAGTCGGATAACGACAAACGACAAGGTGGAGATGCATTCAACAAGCGCGAACGCCGTCCAGCCACCGGCGTAGAAAATGTAAACATTCCACTCTGCGTTTTCCCCAGTTTCTTACGTAGGTTGGCGACCTGCGTTATCAAGGAATCCACCTCAAGCCTATAATCCTCGGCAAGTAAACAATTGCCACATTGGAACACTGAGTTATCCGTTTTTTAACGAAACAAAGCATAATACATACAGCTCCTACAGCGCTGGAACCGTTCATTTAGTTCTCCAGACAAAGAGGGCTCCATTGCAAAACTAATTTGGTACCAACTTCGTTACCTTGATGGCTAGCAGCTTAGCGTCTCTGTCAAGCAGGCTTCAACCTGTCTCTTAAGCGGGATTCCGGGACAAGAAATAGCGGTCCTAGCTGTTAAAAGCTAACCGCGTTGTGGAATCCACGCAAAAACAAGTTCTGTATTCATATTTATGAATAGCGTTTTTGTTTTAATCAAAAATAACAAACCAAGTGTTTTCCAGCATATAATGTTCAGCTGCGCACTCTGATGACGTCAGCAGGGTGTGGCCAATTAGTGGGCATTGATGTCAGAGTGATTAGAGGGACAATAGAGTGCTGAGTACCAGGCAGTTAGCAAGTTTGGTAGGCTACTAATGACCAGCAGCAGCATCAGAGCTGCCTTATTCTTCACCAGGTTTGACTTTACCCTCTCCTACCAGCTGGGATCTAAGAATGTTAAGGCCGATGCGTTGTCCCGGATGCATGACACAGAGGATCGGAGGGAGCAAGTGACACCCATTATTATCCTGTCCCGCATTGTGGCTCCTGTCGTGTGAAATGTGGCCACGGACATCCGTCGAGCCCTGCTACAGGAGCCCTCAACTGCCCACTGTCCCAAGGGGCGTATTGACGTCCCCTCTGATGTGCGGGGCCGTCTCCTCACCTGGGCACACACAGCACCTGTGTCGGGGCGCCCGGGTATAGCCCGTACTATCGACTGTCTCTTTGCTAAGTACTGGTGGCCCACCTTGGCCAGGGACGTCCGGGTTTACGTCTCTTCCTGATCCACCTGCGCACAGAGCAAGACACCGAGACACCTCCCCTATGGCAAACTCCAACCGCTGCCGGTTCCACAACGACCCTGGTCCCATCTCTCCGTGGACTTTGTCACAGACCTTCCCTCCTCGGAGGGCCACACCACCGTCCTGGTCATTGTGGACCGGTTTTCCAAAGCCTGTCATTTGATTCCTCTGCCTGGTCTCCCTACGGCCATGCAGACCGCGCCGGCTCTCTTCTCTCACGTCTTCCAGCACAACCCGATCCCTGAGAACATCATGTCTGACCGTGGTCCTCAGTTCACCTCCCGTGTCTGGAAGGCCTTAATGGAACGACTGGTGGTCACGGTCAGCCTCACCTCCGGATACCGTCCCCAATCAAATGGGCAGGTAGAAAGGGTAAATCAGGAACTTGGTAGGTACCTTTGTAGTTACTGTCAGGACCGGCCGGGGGTCCTGACAGTAACTATGAAGGTACCTGCCCAGTTCCTGTCACTCCTCCACTAACCTCACACCTTTCAGTGTGTTCTAGGCTATCAGCCGGCCCTGGCACCGGAGTCAGATTGAGGCTCCTGCGGTGGACGAATGGTTCCGGCACGCTGAGGAGGTATGGAACACAGCGCACACCTGTCTCCAGTGCGTCGTCCTCCGGCAGAAGGCGCAGGCCGATCGTCACCGCAGTGTGGCCTCGGTCTTTCACCCCGGTGACAGGGTCTGGCTTTCTACGAAGGACCTGCTCCTCTGAGCCCACGGTTTGTGGAGCCGTTCAAAGTCCTAAGGAGAGTCAATGAGGTGACATACAGATTACAGCTCCCCGTCAATTACCGTATCTCACCCTCATTTCATGTATCGCTCCTCAGACCTGTGGCAGCTGGTCCCTTGGCTAGTGCTGGACCCCACGATGCACCTCCCCCTCCCTTGGACGTCGAGGGAGCCCTGGCATACTCCGTCCACAGCCTGTTGGACTCACGGCGTCGTGGGGGACTTCTCCAGTACCTGGTCGACTGGGAGGGGTACGGTCCAGAAGAGCGGTGATGGGTTCCGGCGGGGGATGTCCTGGATCGTTCTCTCATTTGGGACTTCCACAGCCATTTTCCCGACCGTCCCGCTCCGCGTCTCCGGGGTCGTCCCCAAGGTCAGCGGCGCCACATTGCTGGAGCAGTACTGTCACACCAGCCTTCGCTTTGGCTCCCCCTCCTGTCCAGCTCAGGCATTCGGAGTCGCTGGCCTTCTAGTGCTTCCTGTGCGTTTTTGTTTATGAAGATATATTTTGAGCACAACAGCATTCGGGTTTCGTCACGCTTTGATCTATGGTGCTTAAATAAATTCAGTAGTTCTATACCTGCGACTACCTCCTGCCTACTCCTCTCTACACCAGTGAGAGAAGGCTTGTTCCACCACTGGGGTGCACACACACACACACACACACACACACAAACACACACACACACACACAAATGAAAATGTGTGATTAATGAAAGACCTAAGGGTCTAATAAGAAATATTAATCACACATGAATCTCATAGATCGGTCTGGGTGTCTGGGTCTCTCACCTCCATGGTCTGCATTAGACTGGGCTTCACAGCATCTCTCATCAACGTGGCCAACACTCCACTAATACTCTGTGGGGCAAACACAGCAAGAGACTCTAATAACATGTTATTCAAATCACTCAGATACAATAAGAATAGCACTCGCTCTGGTTGCACACCATGATTGGAAATTATATAGAAAAGAGCAGTAAGTGGACACACGTTCGTCCACAAACCATTATTTGCACACTTGCTAACGCATATCGTAATTGGCAAAAAAGTGCTCTCTCTCTCGCTTCTTTTTAAATACACATGCACAGACGCACGCACACACACACACACACACACACACACACACACACACACACACACACACTGACCAGGTCCTCTGTTGTGATGGGATTCCCCTTGCGGCTGTAGGCCACCACCATCCTGGCCAGACGACGCGTCATGTCCCCCAGACTGGTACTGAGGGCCAACACCGCCATCATCTCACTGGCCACAGACCCACTCAGCTGTTTGGAAGGAGTTTATTAGATATAACCTTAAAAATATACAGTTGAAGTCAGAGGTTTACATACACTTAGGTTGGAGTCATTAAAACTCGTTTTTCAACCACTCCACAAATGTCTTGTTAACAAAATATAGTTTTGGCAAGTCGGTTAGGACATCTACTTTGTGCATGACACAAGTAATTTTTCCAACAATTGTTTAAAGATAGATTATTTAACTTATAATTCACTGTATCACAATTCCAGTGGGTCAGAAGTTTACATACACTAAGTTGACTGTGCCTTTAAACAGCTTGGAAAATTCCAGAAAATCATGTCATGGCTTTAGAAGCTTCTGATAGGCTAATTGACATAATTTGAGGTGTACCTGTGGATGCATTTCAAGGCCTACCTTCAAACTCAGTGCCTCTTTGCTTGATATCATGTGAAAATCAAAAGAAATCAGCCAAGACCTCAGAAAAATAATTGTAGACCTCCCCAAGTCTGGTTCATCCTTGGGAGCAATTTCCAAACGCCTGAAGGTACCACGTTCATCTGTACAAACAATAGTACGCAAGTATAAACACCATGGGACCACGCAGCCATCATACTTCTCAGGAAGGAGACGCGTTCTGCCTCCTAGAGATTAACGTACTTTGGTGCGAAAAGAGCAAATCAATCCCAGAACAACAGCAAAGGACCTTGTGAAGATGCTGGAATAAACAGGTACAAAAGTATCTATATCCACAGTAAAACGAGTCCTATATCGACATAACCTGAAAGGCAGCTCAGCAAGGAAGAAGCCACTGCTCCTAAACCAACATAAAAAAGCCAGACTACGGTTTGCAACTGCACATGGGGACAAAGATCGTACTTTTTGATGAAATGTCCTCTGATCTGATTTAAAGAAAAATAGAACTGTTTGGCCATAATGACCATCGTTATGTTTGGAGGAAAAAGGGGGTTGCTTGCAAGCCGAACAACACCTTCCCAACCGTGAAGCACGGGGGTGGCAGCATCATGCTGTGGGGGTGCTTTGCTGCAGGAGGGACTGGTGCACTTCACAAAACAGATGGCATCATGAGGAAAGAAAATTTATGTGGATATATTGAAGCAACATCTCAAGACATCAGTCAGGAAGTTAAAGGTTGGTCGCAAATGAGTCTTCCAAATGGACAATGACCCCAAGCATACTTCCAAAGTTGTGGCAAAATGGCTTAAGGACAACAAAGTCAAGGTATTGGAGTGGCCATCACAAAGCCCTGACCTCAATCCTATAGAAAATGTGTGAGCAGAAGTGAAAAAGCGTGTGCGAGCAAGGAGGCCTACAAACCTGACTCTGTCAGGAGGAATGGGCCAAAATTCACCCAACTTATTATGGGAAGCTTGTGGAAGGCTACACGAATCGTTTGACCCAAGTTAAACAATTTAAAGGCAATGCTACCAAATACTAATTGAGTGTATGTAAACTTCTGACCCACTGGGAATGTGATGAAAGAAATAAAAGCTTAAATAAATCATTCTCTCTACTATTCTTCTGACATTTCACATTCTTAAAATAAAGTGGTGATCCTAACTGACCTAAAACAGGGAATTTTTACTAGGATTAAGTGTCAAGAATTGTGGAAAAACTGAGTTTAAATGTATTTGGCATAGGTGTATGTAAACTTCCATCTTCAACGGTACCTACTGACCAGTAGGTCTGCAGAGAGGTAAGGTTACCTCCAACTCCATTGATGTTTTGTCAATCATTCTCATTCACAGTTGTTTCAAGGGACATTCAGTATCTCTGTGTGTTACATAAAAAATGTAACTGTATACAGTCGCTGATGGAAGAATACTTGTGAACGGATGTTCATGAGGGAATCATTTGTACTCCTCATGTAGCCTGGTCCTAGATCTGTTTGTGCGTTCTTGTCAACTCCTATCATCATTGTCACGCCAATTACCAAACAATAGGAGTTGGCAAGACAATACAAACAGATCTGGAACCAGGCTACACCTCATGATAAGTGACATACCGTCTTGGTCTCCGGGTCAATGTCCAAACGGATAAATTGGTATATCTCCTCTGGTTTCAGGGTTTCTGGTTTCTCTATACCCAGTCTCTACAAACACATTACAAGGAAAACAATCAGCTGCAAGAACGACAAGACCCCCCCCCCCCCCCCCCCAACATAAAAAAGAATGAGCCCTAAAACATGTGTCCAACATTCCCCCCATGGCCCATTTGAGGGCTGCTATTTGAATTAAACCCTATACTCCTTTTATTAAGAAAGCTATTAATTCCCAATTTCTATCTTGGAAACACGGCAATTGCTAACTCTTTACATGAATTTGTACATTCACTATTCCTTTGTGGTTTTTTCGACAATGGTCTACCCCTTTGACATTTTCTGTAAGGCACTTACAGTATTTGTGACTCGATTCAGGAAACTAGGCATATGTCGCGGGTCACTACTTCACAGGAGAGCCATTTGAACGTAAACTTTTAAAAAATGCCTTCTGGAACATGTGAACTTACATGTGCCTTAATAACAAACTTGTATTCCATCTGTAAATATGAATAAAATTGTTAAATTACGAGCCTAGTTGGTTAAACCATAGAAAAAGACAGCAACCTTCTCACTAGCCATGATTGGCTGATATAATGAGTGGGCTGGAAATGCCGAGAGAGGAGTTTGGATTGGTCTGCCATATAGCACGCTTCTGTCTATTTGAGCTGGTCAGTATGTGTAGGTAATCCTGTTTAACGCGCTTTTTTTTAAACGTATTGTGTAGTGGAGCTGCATACGTGTTGCTCTCCACAACAACACAGAGTTACATATGGGGTAAAACAAAACATAAAGTCAAAAATACAACAGAAAATATATATACAGTGTGTGCAAATGTAGCAAGTTATGGAGGTAAGGCAATAAATAGGCCATAGTGCAAAATAAATACAATTAGTATTAACACTGGAATGATAGATGTGCAAGAGATGATGTGCAAATAGAGATACTGGCGTGCAAATGAGCAAAATAAATAACAATATGGGGATGAGGTAGTTGGGTGGGCTAATTTCAGATGGGCTGTGTACAGGTGCAGTGATTGGTAAGGTGCTCTGACAACTTGCAATGCTTAAAGTTAGTGAGGGAGATAAGAGTCTCCAGCTTCAGAGATTTTTGCAATTCGTTCCAGTCATTGGAAGCAGAGAACTGGAAGGAATGGCGGCCAAAGGAGGTGTTGGCTTTGGGGATGACCAGTGAGATATACCTGCTGGAGCGCATACTACGGGTGGGTGTTGCTATGGTGACCAATGAGCTAAGATAAGGCAGGGATTTATAGATGGCCTGGAGCCAGTGGGTTTGGCGACGAATATGTAGTGAGGACCAGCCAACAAGAGCGTACAGGTCACAGTGGTGGGTAGTATATGGGGCTTTGGTGACAAAATGGATGGCACTGTGATAGACTACATCCAATTTGCTGAGTAAAGTGTTGGAGGCTGTTTTGTAAATGACATCGCCGAAGTCAAGGATCGGTAGGATAGTCAGTTTTACGATGGCATGTTTGGCAGCATGAGTGAAGGAGGCTTTGTTGCAAAATAGGAAGCCGATTCTAGATTTAACTTTGGATTGGAGATGCTTAATGTGAGTCTGGAAGGAGAGTTTACAGTCTAACCATTACATTTACATTTACGTCATTTAGCAGACGCTCTTATCCAGAGCGACTTACAAATAGGTGCATTCACCTTATAGCCAGTGGGATAACCACTTTACAATGTTTTTTTTGTTTTTTTTAACCAGACACCTAGGTATTTGTAGTTGTCCACATACTCTAAGTCAGACCCGTCGAGAGTAGTGATTCTAGTCGTGTGGGCGGGTGCCAGCATGCATTTAGTTTTACTAGTGTTTAAGAGCAGTTGGAGGCTACGGAAGGAGTGTTGTATGGCATTGAAGCTCATTTGGAGGTTTGTTAACACAGTGTTCAATGAAGGGCCAGATGTATACAAAATGGTGTCGTCTGTGTAGAGGTGGATCTGAGAGTCACCAGCAGCAAGAGCGACATCATTGATATACATGGAGAAAAGAGTCGGCCCAAGTATTGAACCCTGTGGCACCCCCATAGAGACTGCCTTAGGTCCAGACAACAGGCCCTCCGATTTGACACATTGAGAAGTAGTTGGTGAACCAGGCGAGGCAGTCATTTGAGAAACCAAGGCTATTTAGTCTGCCAATAAAAATGTGGCAGACACTGCTAGAACATCAGGGTTGGCGTAGTGTGCTAACGCAGTGAATAACTCAAATTTAGGAAGGAGGCTTCTGATGTTAACGTGCAGAAAACCAAGGCTTTTACGGTTACAGAAGTCAACAAATGATAGCTCCTGGGGAGTAGGAGTGATACTGGGGGCTGCAGGGCCTGGGTTAGCCTCTACATCACCAGAGGAACAGAGGAGGATTAGAATAAGGATACAGCTAAAGGCTTTAAGAACTGGTCTTCTAGTGCGTTGGGTACAGAGAATAAAGGGGGCAGATTTCCGGGCGTTGTAGAATAGATTCAGGGCATTATGTACAGACAAGGATATGGAAGGATATGAGTACAGTAGAGGTAAACCTAAGCGTTGGGAAACAATGAAAGAATATAGCATCACTGGAGGCACCGATTGAGCCAGTCTCTGCGTGTATGGGGGGTGGAAAAAATGAACTATTTGAGGCAGTTTGAGAGGGACTTGGGGTTCTACAGTGAAATTGTATAATAAGAACTAACTGGAACAGCAATAGGTGTCAAGGGCTGATGTGGTGCGATGTTGGAGTCAGGCGCAGGACACAGAAGCTTAGTCGAACCGACTTTAATTGTCACAAAGACAAATACAAAATTACGGGCCTCAAAACACAGGAGGAGAGCGATTACGCAAACGGTGCGTAAAACACTAACAACAAGAAAACGATACACATACACCAACGGACAGGCGTACAACGACACACATCTGCAAACAAAACAAAAGGAAACTTATAGGTGACATAATCAATACATAATACGACACAGGTGCACCAACAAGACAAAAACAAACAAACATAGAGAACATCAAGCGGTAGCAGCTAGTACTCCGGGGACGACGAATGCCGAAGCCTGCCCGAACAAGGAGGAGGAGCAGTCTTGGCGGAATTCGTGACAGTACCCCCCCCTTGACGTGCGGCTCCAGCCGTGCGCCGACCCCGGCCTCGGGGACGGCCAGGAGGATGTGGAGCAGGGCGCGTAGGATGACAACGGTGGAACTCAGTCAGGAGGGATGGATCTAAAATGTCCCTCCTAGGCACCCAGCACCGTTCCTCCGGACCGTACCCCTCCCACTCCACGAGATATTGTAGACCCCCCATCCGACGTCTCGAATCCACGATGGACCGGACTGAGTACGCCGGAGCCCCCTCGATGTCCAGTGGGGGCAGAGGGGTCCCTCTTATCTCACTCTCCTGGAGTGGACCAGCTACCACCGGCCTGAGGAGAGACACATGGAACGAGGGGTTAATGTGATAGTCATTAGGCAGTTGCAACTTGTAACACACCTCGTTCAATCTCCTCAGGACTTTAAATGGCCCCACAAACTGCCGGCCAAGCTTCCGGCAGGGCAGGCAAAGGGGCAGGTTTCGAGTCGAGAGCCAGACTCGATCTCCAGGGGCGTATACTGGACCCTCACTGCGGTGGAGATCGGCGCTCGCCTTCTGCCTGCGGATGGCCCGCTGCAGATGGACGTGTGCAGCGTTCCACGTCTCCTCCGAGCCCCGAAACCACTCATCCACCGCAGGAGCCTCGATCTGGCTCTGATGCCATGGTGCCAGAACCGGCTGATACCCTAACACACACTGAAAAGGGGTCAGGTTAGTAGAGGAATGGCGCAGAGAGTTCTGTGCCATCTCTGCCCAGGGGATATACCCCGACCACTCCTCCAGCCGGCCCTGGCAATAGGGATCTCAGAAACCTACCCACATCCTGGTTCACTCTCTCCACCTGCCCATTACTCTCAGGGTGGTAACCCGAGGTAAGGCTAACCGAGACCCCCAAGCGTTCCATGAACGCCCTCCAGACTCTAGAGGTGAATTGGGGACCCCGATCAGACACTATATCCTCGGGAACCCCGTAGTGCTGGAAGACATGGGTGAACAAAGCCTCAGCGTTCTGTAGGGCAGTAGGGAGACCCGGCATTGGAATGAGACGACATGCCTTAGAGAACCGATCCACAACGACCAGAATAGTGGTATTCCCCTGAGAGGGGGGAAGGTCCGTGACAAAGTCCACCGAGAGGTGAAACCACGACCGTTGTGGAACGGGCAGGGGTTGTAACTTCCCCCTGGGCGCCGCACACCGAGCAAGAGGAGACATAAACCCTCACGTCCCTAGCCAATGTTGGCCACCAGTACTTAACACTAAGGCAGTGCACTGTCAGGCCAATACCTGGATGTCCAGAGGAGGGTGACATATGAGCCCAATAAATGAGATGATCACGGACCTCGAGCGGCACGTACGTCCGACCCGCTGGACACTCTGGGGGAGTAGGGTCGGTGCGTAACGCCCGCTCAATTTCCGCATCGACCTCCCATACCACCGGTGCCACCAGACAAGACTCCGGCAGTATGGGAGTGGGCTCAATGGACCTCTCCTCTGTGTCATACCGCCGGGACAGGGTGTCTGCCTTACCGTTCTGGGACCCTGGGATGTAAGTGATCTTAAAAATGAACCGGGTCAGAAACATGTTCCACCTAGCCTGACGAGGGTTCAATCTCCTAGCTGCCCGGATGTACTCCAGGTTACGATGGTCAGTCAGAATGAGAAAAGGGTGTTGAGCCCCCTCAAGCCAATGCCTCCACACCTTTAGGGCTTGAACCACGGCTAACAGCTCCCTGTCCCCTACGTCATAATTACGTTCCACCGGGCTGAGCTTTTTAGAAAAAAAAGCGCAGGGACGGAGCTTAGGAGGCGTGCCGGAGCGTTGTGACAGTACTGCCCCAATACCGGCCTCTGACGCGTCCACCTCTACCTGGAACGTCCTGTCCGCTTAAGCCGACCACTGCAAACGCACCGTCCCCCCTTCAGCAGGGAAGTAATGGGAGCTGCCACCTGTCCAAAACCCCGGATAAACCTCCGGTAGTTATTGGCAAAAACTGCTGCACCTCTTTAACAGTGGTTGGGGTTTGCCAGTTACGCACGGCTGACACACGGTCAATCTCCATCTTCACCCCTGACGCGGACAACCGATGACCCAAGATGGAGATGGACTCCTGGAAAAACAGACATTTCTCTGCCTTGACATACAAGTCATGCTCCAACAGCCTACCCAACACTCGGCGCACCAGGGCTACATGCTCTGCTCGTGTAGCAGAGTACACTAGGATGTCGTCAATGTACACTACCACTCCCTGCCCATGCAGGTCCCGGAAGATCTCGTCCACAAAGGATTGGAAGACTGAAGGAGCATTGATTAACCCGTCTGGCATGACAAGATACTCATAATGACCTGAGGTGGTACTAAATGCCGTCTTCCATTCGTCTCCCTCCCTAATGCGCACCAAGTTATAAGCGCTCCTGAGATCCAGTTTTGTGAAAAAACATGCTCCGCGTAATGATCAACGGGCAGGAGGGGAATCCCTAACTTAGAACAAAATTTCAGATCAAAAAAATTCCCAGCTGCGCCTGAATCGACTAGCGCCTTATGCTGGGAATGAGATGCAACCTGAGGAAATACCACAGGTATACACAAGTGAACAACAGAGAGCTCTGGGTGAGTGGGGCGCCTACTCACCTGAAATGACTCCCCAGTGCGCGGCCTGTTGCCCCGATTCCCTGGAGACCCTCCCCAGCACCTAGCCGCAGTGTGTCCTCCACAGCCACAGCTGGTGCAGGGGATGGCCCCCCTCGGGTTCTCTCTCCTTCTCTCTCTAGCGCCAGCACCCCCGAGCTCCATAGGGCTCGGCTCGGAGGTGCTGGAGGATGGAATGGACGGCCCCATCTCGGGACGTCCGCGGGTGGCCAGCAGGGTATCCAGACGGATGGACATGTCCACTAGCTGGTCGAAGGACAGATTGGTGTCCCTGCAGGACAGCTCTCGACGAATGTCCTCACGCAGGCTACACGAGAGTGGTCAATGAGGGCCCTCTCATTCCACCCCGCATCCGCCGCTAGAGTCCGGAAATCCAGGGCGAACTCCTGTGCGCTCCTCTTCCCCTGTCGGAGGTGGAACAGACGCTCCCCCGCCGCTTTACCCTCAGGAGGGTGATCGAAAACAGCCCTGAAGCGGCGGGAGAACTCAGCGTAGCTAATGGTGGCGGCGTCTATTCCCCTCCATTCGGCGTTGGCCCACTCCAACGCCTTGCCGGAGAGACAGGAGATGAGGGCGGAAACGATCTCTTATCCCGAGGGCGCCGGGTGTATGGTGGCCAGGTAGAGTTCCACCTGAAGGAGGAACCCCTGACACCCGGCTGCGGTGCCATCATACGCCCTCGGGAGCGAGAGCCGAATCCCACTGGATTCCGGAGCTGGTCTGGTGGGGCTGGCCGATGGTGGTGGTAATGTAGGAGGAGGTGAGGGCACGCCTCCCCTTTCCCATCGGCGCAGGGTGTTCATTACCTCCTGCATGGCGGAGCCGAGTTGCTGGATCTGGGCGTCCTGGCAGCTGACCCGATCCTCCAGCGACTCGGTCGCCGCCGCTGCTCCTGCTGACTCCATGTATGGTGTGTCGTTCTGTCAAGGGCTGATGTGGATGCGATGTTGGAGTCAGGCGCAGGACACAGAAGCTTAGTCGAACCGACTTTAATTGTCACAAAGACAAATACAAAATTACGGGCCTCAAAACACAGGAGGCGAGCGATTACGCAAACGGTGCATAAAACACTAACAACAAGAAAACGATACACATACACCAACGGACAGGTGTACAACGACACACAACTGCAAACAAAACCAAAGGAAACTTATAGGTGACATAATCAATACATAATACGACACAGGTGCACCAACAAGACAAAACCAAACAAACATAGAGAACATCAAGCGGTAGCAGCTAGTACTCCGGGGACGACGAACGCCGAAGCCTGCCCGAACAAGGAGGAGGAGCAGTCTCGGCGGAATTCGTGACAATAGGCAAGGCATATTGACATGGGAGAGAGGCATAAAGCAATCACAGGTGGTAATGGCGATAAAGTTTGGGCTTAGGCTAAACAGATAAACAGGACAGGGTACCGTGTAAAGGAACAGTCCAGCAGGCATCAGCTGTGCAGCTGAGTGATCATAAGGTCCAGTGAACAGCAATATGTGAGTCCGAGAGCAGTTCGAATTGGTGCTACAGCACAGCGAGCAGGAAGCACAGCTGTTGTTTGCGTGTGCTAGCGGGCCGGGACTAACAGATGGATCTTCGTGGTCGTCGCAACGGGAAGCCTGTTGAAACCACAGACGATTACGTCGGCAGACCAGTCGTGATGGATCGGCGGGGCTCCGTGTATTGACTCTAGGAGGTCCCGTCCGGTTGACAGAGAGGTAGATAGCCGGGATATGTGCCTGACTCAATGCTAGCTCAAGGCTGATTAGCCAACAACAACGTTCATTTGGTTGCAGCTAGCTAGTTGCGATTATCCAGTGTTAAAGGTCCAGTGATGCAGTGATTCCGGCAGAAAATCCGATATGTTCTGGATCGATAATGCGCTGTGCAGACAGTGCAGACTGGACGATAATAGTCCAGGCTAGAGCTGGCTGGTAGGTAGTGCAGGCCACGGACAATGGTGTAACGGTGGCTAATAGCAAGTAGCTAGTTAGCTGGTTAGCTGGCTACTCCCATCCGGTAGACAGAGGCTAGCTCAAGGCTAACTGGTGCTTGCTTCGGGGGCAGTGGTGATTAGCCTACAGCAACATCCATTCGACATCCATTCGGTTGCAGCTAGCTAGTTGCAATCTGGTATTAAGGTCCAGTGATTCAGTTATTCCGGCAGAAAATCCGATGTTCTGGAAGAAAAACGCTAACGGTGGCTAATAGCAAGTAGCTAGTTAGCTGGCTGGCTAGTTTCAACTGGAGATTCTAGATAAAGGTGAGTAAATAATAGAATCCGTTCCACATTGTGTGAGGCGGTTGCAGGAAAGTATATTTAGTAGAAGGATGAAAAGTGTGATAGGGAAATATATACGTAAAATACAAAAAAATACAAAAAACAGGCTATTTACATGGACACACAAGGGAACACGACCGCACTGCTACGCCAGGAGGATCAAGTTTTGAAATCAGTGGAATTAGAGTATGATAGCTAAATAGAGAAAACACCTGTCTCCGGAATACATCTTCAACCTAAGGGCAACCATGGCATCCGTGACAGGGAGACGCGTCCATCATGCATGATGTATTTGTAAGATGTAAGATACATTTTCAGATATTACATGTTTCTAATTTTGACAGAAAGTAGTTTCATTTCAACTTAAAGTGTACTGTTAGCTAGTTAGATAACATTAGCTGGCTGGCATGCTAGCTAGCGTTACGTGTATGATCTTAATATTCGTATCTCAGAGCCATTTGCTTGCTAACATTGAACCTGGTTGGAAGCTACCTGCAGATTCATGCAGGGTAGTAAGTCTTGAGTTGGGATTATGGTTCATTGTTTAGCTTGGTTTTGCTTGGCTAGTTAGAGCCTAATGTTAGCTAGCTAACCTTCAACCCGGTTGGTTAGCTACCTGCAAATTCATGCAGGGTAGTAACGTCATGAGTTGGGATTATGGTTCATTGTTTACCTAGCTAGATACACATCTTAACAAAAGACTCCACTATGCGTGTAACCATTTCGGGTGCATTTGTAAATTCAGTCTGAGTATGCCAGAGCGCAGAATAACTGATTAATTTACGAACGCACAACACTCGTTGAATATGGCCGGTGTCAGTAAACGTCGGCAAAAAAGCATAATCAAATTGTTGCCAGCAGCACAGTTAGTCACCAACGCTCTGGATAACATGAAAATAGCCTAACCAGCTCTGCTAGGGCGGGGTGTTCTCTGACCATTTTTTTTTCATGTTATCCAGAGGTAAACAATTAACCATAATAACAATTTTGTGTCTGGAAGTATCTAGCAAGCTAGCCAATGTTAGCCAGTTATCTTGGTGCTTGACTGCCGTTGTGAGGTCAGAACGCTCGGATCAACCCTAATCATCGACCAGAGCATCAAGTATGCGCTTTGAACGCTCCGAGAGTGAAAGAGATGGGTGGGGCTAAAGCTTAAGAGGGAGTGAACGATGCTGAATGGGTGTAGACAAAGAAGGGCTCTTCAGTAGGTACCATTTTACCAGTAAGGCCATTTTCTCAAAAGTGAAATTACAAGTTTATCGACTTTCAAAGCAGAATTACTTTCCCATTGTTCCCTTAAATGCAGTGTATGATATACCATTTTGTAGCTCTGTGTCTCCGCTTTTATCCAATGTAAAAAACACAATTTCAAATTTTGCTACATAAGACCGAATCAAGGCGGTCGGTCACATTTGTCTTTACAGAAATGGCCCCTTAGGAAAATTTACTTTGAGATGTCTGCTTTAAAACAATACTTTGTAATAACCACATCAATAAAGAGAGGAAGATATTCCACTTGCCTTCAGCCTATTGAGTTGGGACAGGGAGAACTTCCTGTGACCCTCCCTCAGTGGCACCAGCCCATCAAATAGAGCCTATACGGGCAGGGTAATGAATTACACAAAACTTCATTCAAAGACATTCCTCCTCATATAGTTGTTTCTCTGCAATACGTTTTTGTTTTACAATCTGCTACTCATCTTGTATATAAAGTGCCTTTAGAAAGTATTCACACCCCTTGACTTTTTCCACATTTTGTTGTGTTGAAGCATGAATTTAAAATGGATTCAATTGAAATTCGTGTCACTGATCTAGACAATACAATACCCAATAATGTCAGTGGATTTTAGTTTTTTGAAATGTTTACAAATTAATAAAAGGGATTTTATTTTATTCAAATTATTAAAAAAATTAAGCTGAAATGTCTTGAGTCAATAAGTATTCAACACCTTTGTTATGACATGCCTAAATAAGTACAGGAGTAACAATTTGCTTAACAAGTCACATAATAAGATGCATGGACTCACTCTGTGTGCAATATTAGTGGTAACATGATTTTTTTATGACTACCTCATCTCTGTACTACACACATACAATTATCTTTAAGGTCCCTCAGTCGAGAAGTGAATTTTAAGCACAGATTTAACCACAAAGACCAGGGAGGTTTTCCAATGCCTCGCAAAGAAGGGCACCTATTGGTAGATTGGTGAAAATAAATAAGAGCAGACTGAATACAGTGAGGGAAAAAAGTATTTGATCCCCTGCTGATTTTGTACGTTTGTCCACTGACAAAGAAATGATCAGTCTATAATTTTAATGGTAGGTTTATTTGAACAGTGAGAGACAGAATAACAACAAAAAAATCCAGAAAAACGCATGTCAAAAATGTTATAAATTGATTTGCATTTTAATGAGGGAAATAAATATTTGACCCCTCTGTAAAACATGACTTAGTACTTGGTGGCAAAACCCTTGTTGGCAATCACAGAGGTCAGACGTTTCTTGTAGTTGGCCTCCAGGTTTGCACACATCTCAGGAGGGATTTTGTCCCACTCCTCTTTGCAGATCTTCTCCAAGTCATTAAGGTTTCGAGGCTGATGTTTGGCAACTCGAAACTTCAGCTCCCTCCACAGAATTTCTATGGGATTAAGGTCTGGAGACTGGCTAGGCCACTCCAGGACCTTAATGTGCTTCTTCTAGAGCCACTCCTTTGTTGCCTTGGCTGTGTGTTTTGGGTCATTGTCATGCTGGAATACCCATCCACGACCCATTTTCAATGCCCTGGCTGAGGGAAGGAGGTTCTCACCCAAGATTTGACGGTACATCGCCCCGTCCAACGTCCATTTGATGCAGTGAAGTTGTCCTGTCCCCTTAGCAGAAAAACACCCCCAAAGCGAAATGTTTCCACCTCCATGTTTGACGGTGGGGATGGTGTTCTTGGGGTCATAGGCAGCATTCCTCCTCCTCCAAACACGGCGAGTTGAGTTGATGCCAAAGAGATCCATTTTGGTCTCATCTGACCACAACACTTTCACCCAGTTCTCCTCTGAATCATTCAGATGTTCATTGGCAAACTTCAGACGGCCCTGTATATGTGTTTTCTTGAGCAGGGGGACCTTACGGGCGCTGCAGGATTTCAGTCATTCACGCGTAATGTGTTCCCAATTGTTTTCTTGGTGACTATGGTCCCAGCTGCCTTGAGATCATTGACAAGATCCTCCCGTGTAGTTCTGGGCTGATTCCTCACCGTTCTCATGATCATTGCAACTCCACGAGGTGAGATCTTGCATGGAGCCAAAGGCCGAGGGAGATTGACAGTTATTTTGTGTTTCTACCATTTGCGAATAATCGCACCAACTGTTGTCACCTTCTCACCAAGCTGCTTGGCGATGGTCTTGTAGGCCATTCCAGCCTTGTGTAGGTCTACAATTTTGTCCCTGACATCCTTGGAGAGCTCTTTGGTCTTGGCCATGGTGGAGAGTTTGGAATCTGATTAATTGATTGCTTTTTGTGGACAGGTGTCTTTTATACAGGTAACAAACTGAGATTAGGAGCACTCCCTTTAAGAGTGTGCTCCTAATCTCAGCTCGTTACCTGTATAAAAGACACCTGGGAGCCAGAAATCTTTCAGATTGAGAGGGGGTAAAATACTTATTTCCCTCATTAAAATGCAAATCAATTCATAACATTTTTGACATGCGTTTTCTGGATTTTTTTGTTGTTATTCTGTCTCTCACTGTTCAAATAAACCTACCATTAAAATTATAGACTGATAATTTCTTTGTCAATGGTTAAACGTACAAAATCAGCAGGGGATCAAATACTTTTTTCCCTCACTGTATCTAGATCATGGTGACGTTATCAATTACACTTTGGATGGTGTATCAATATAATTCCTAACTCAGTTGCCGGAGAGGAAGGAAACCGCTCAGAGATTTCACCATGAGGCCAATGAGAGGAGAAAACTGAGGATGAATCAACAACATTGTAGTTATTCCACAATACTAACCTAATTCACAGAGTGAAAAGAAGGAAGCCTGTAACATTCTTCCAAAACATGGATCCTGTTTGCAATATGGCACTAAAGTAATAATGCAAAAAATGTGGCAAAGACATTAACTTTTTGTCCTGAATACAAAGCGTTATGTTTGGGGCAAATCCAACACAACGCATTCATGAGTACCACTCTTCATACAGTGGGGAAACAAGTATTTAGTCAGCCACCAATTGTGCAAGTTCTCCCACTTAAAAAGATGAGAGAGGCCTGTAATTTTCATCATAGGTACACGTCAACTATGACAGACAAAATGAGAAAAAAAAATCCAGAAAATCACATTGTAGGATTTTTAATGAATTTATTTGCAAATTATGGTGGAAAATAAGTATTTGGTCAATAACAAAAGTTTCTCAATACTTTGTTATATACCCTTCGTTGGCAATGACACAGGTCAAACGTTTTCTGTAAGTCTTTAAAAGGTTTTCACACACTGTTGCTGGTATTGTGGCCCATTCCTCCATGCAGATCTCCTCTAGAGCAGTGATGTTTTGGGGCTGTCGCTGGGCAACACGGACTTTCAACTCCCTCCAAAGATTTTCTATGGGGTTGAGATCTGAAGACTGGCTAGGCCACTCCAGGACCTTGAAATGCTTCTTACGAAGCCACTCCTTCGTTGCCCGGGCGGTGTGTTTGGGATAATTGTCATGCTGAAAGACCCAGCCATGTTTCATCTTAAATGCCCTTGCTGATGGAAGGAGGTTTTCACTCAAAATCTCACGATACATGGCCCCATTCATTCTTTCCTTTACACGGATCAGTCGTCCTGGTCCCTTTGCAGAAAAACAGCCCCAAAGCATGATGTTTCCACCCCCATGCTTCACAGTAGGTATGGTGTTCTTTGGATGCAACTCAGCATTCTTTGTCCTCCAAACACGACGAGTTGAGTTTTTACCAAAAAGTTCTATTTTGACCATATGACATTCTCCCAATCCTCTTCTGGATCATCCAAATGCACTCTAGCAAACTTTAGACGGGCCTGGACATGTACTGGCTTAAGCAGGGGGACACGTCTGGCACTGCAGGATTTGAGTCCCTGGCGGCGTAGTGTGTTACTGATGGTAGGCTTTGTTACTTTGGTCCCAGCTCTCTGCAGGTCATTCACTAGGTCCCCCCGTGTGGTTCTGGGATTTTTGCTCACCGTTCTTGTGATCATTTTGACCCCACGGGGTGAGATCTTGCGTGGAGCCCCAGATCGAGGGAGATTATCAGTGGTCTTGTATGCCTTCCATTTCCTAATAATTGCTCCTACAGTTGATTTCTTCAAACCAAGCTGCTTACCTATTGCAGATTCAGTCTTCCCAGACTGGTGCAGGTCTACAATTTTGTTTCTGGTGTCCTCTGACAGCTCTTTGGTCTTGGCCATAGTGGAGTTTGGAGTGTGACTGTTTGAGGTTGTGGACAGGTGTCTTTTATACTGATAACAAGTTCAAACAGGTGCCATTAATACAGGTAACGAGTGGAGGACAGAGGAGCCTCTTAAAGAAGAAGTTACAGGTCTGTGAGAGCCAGAAATCTTGCTTGTTTGTAGGTGACCAAATACTTATTTTCCACCATAATTTGCAAATAAATTCATTCAAAGTCCTACAATGTGTCACGCCCTGGCTCTGGGGACTCTTAAATGTTGAGCCAGGGTGTGGATTTTCTATGTTTTGTTTTCTAGGTTTCTGTTCTAGATCGTTCTATATCTATGTTGGCCAGTGTGGTTCCCAATCAGAGACAGCTGTAGCTCGTTGTCTCTGATTGGGGAACATACTTAGGCAGCCTGTTGGCACTATAGTTTTGTGGGATCTTGATCCGAAAGGTTTGTGTATTAACCTAGGACTTCACGTATCGTTTGTTGTTTTTTGTTCGTGTGGTGTACTAAAATAAAACATGTACGTTTATCACGCTGCGCCTTGGTCCGCATCCTTAAACGATCGTGACACAATGTGATTTTCTGGATTTTTTTTTCTCAATTTGTCTGTCATAGTTGACGTGTACCTATGATGAAAATTACAGGCCTCTCTCATCATTTTAAGTGGGAGAACTTGCACAATTGGTGGATGACTAAATACTTTTTTCCCCCACTGTATTTTCAAGCATTGTGGTGGCTGCATCATGTTATAGGTATGCTTGTCATCTGCAAGGAGCAGGGAGTTATTTAGGATAAAAATAAACATAATAGAGCTAAGCACAAGGAAAATCCTAGAGGAAAACCTGGTTCAGTCTGCTTTCCAACAGACACTGGGAGACAAATTCACCTTTCAGCAGGATAATAACACAAGGACAAATATACACTGGAGTTGCTTACCAAGACGACATTGAATGTTCCTGAGTGTCCTAGTTCAAGTTTGGACTTAAATCGGCTTGAAATTCTATGGCAAGACATAAAAATGGCTGTCTAGCAATGATCAACAACCAACTTACAGAGCTTGAAGAGTTTTGATAAGAATAATGGGCAAATATTGTACAATCCAGGTAAGCAAAGCTCTTAGAGACTTACCCAAAAACACTCACAGCTGTAATCACTGCAAAAGGGGATTCTAACATGTTTATTTATTTATTTTACCTTTATTTAACAAGGCAAGTCAGTTAAGAACGAAATTCTCATTTACAATGACGGCCTACACAACCAAACACGGACGTCGCTGGCCCAACTGTGGGACAATTGTGAGCCCTATGGGACTCCCAATCACAGCCGGTTGTGATACAGCCTGGAATCGAACCAGAAGTCTGTAGTGACGGCTCAAGCACTGAGATGCAGTGCCTTAGACTGCTGCGCCACTCGGGAGCCGAGTATTGACTCAGGGGGTTGAATGCTCACAGTTGAAGTCGGAAGTTTACATACACTTAGGTTGGAGTGTCTAGTTAACAAACTATAGTTTTGTCAAGTTGGTTAGGACATCTACTTTGTGTATGACACAAGTAATTTTTCCAACAATTGTTTACAGACAGATTATTTCACTTATAATTCACTGTATCACAATTCCAGTGGGTCAGAAGTTTACATACACTAAGTTGACTGTGCCTTTAAACAGCTTGAAAAATTCCAGAAAATAATGTCATGGCTTTAGAAGCTTCTGATAGGCTAATTGACATCATTTGAGTCAATTGGAGGTGTACCTGTGGATGTATTTCAAGGCCTACCTTCAAACTCAGTGCCTCTTTGCTTGACATCATGGGAAAATCAAAAGAAACAGCCAAGAACTCAGAAAAAAGTCTGGTTGATCCTTGGGAGCAATTTCCAAACGCCTGAAGGTACCATGTGCATTTGTACAAACAATAGTATGCAAGTATAAACACCATGGGACCACGCAGCCGTCATACCACTCAGGAAGGAGATGTGTTCTGTCTCCTAGAGATGAACGTATTTGGTGCAAAAAGTGTAAATTAATCCCAGAACAACAGCAAAGGACCTTGTGAAGATGCTGGAGGAAACAGGTACAAAAGTATCTATATCCATAGTAAAACGAGTCCTATATCGACATAACCTGAAAGGCCGCTCAGCAAGGAAGAAGCCACTGCTCCAAAACCAACATAAAAAAGCCAGACTACGGTTTGCAACTGAACATGGGGACAAAGATCGTACTGTTTGGAGAAATGACCTATGATCTGATGATAGAAACATAGAACTGTCTGGCCTTAATGACCATTGTTATATTTGGAGGAAAAAGGGTGTGGCTTGCAAGCAGAACAACACCATCCCAACCGTGAAGCACGGGGGTGGCAGCATCATGCTGTGGGAGTGCTTTGCTGCAGGAGGGACTGGTGCACTTCACAAAACAGATGACATCATGAGGAAGGAAAGTTATGTGGATATATTGAAGCAACGTCTCAAGACATCAGTCAGGAAGTTAATGTTTGGTCGCAAATGGGTCTTCCAAATGGACAATGACCCCAAGCATACTTCCAAAGTTGTGGCAAAATGGCTTAAGGACAACAAAGTCAAAGTATTGGAGTGGCCATCACAAAGCCCTGAACTCAATCCTCCAGAAAATGTGTGGGCAGAACTGAAAAAGCGTGTGCGAGCAAGGAGGCCTACAAACCTGACTCAGTTACACCAGCTCTGTCAGGAGGAATGGGCCAAAATTCACCCAACTTATTGTAGGAAGCTTGTGGAAGGCTACCTGAAATGTTTGACCCAAGTTAAACAATTTAAAGGCAATGTTACCAAATACTAATTGAGTGTATGCAAACTTCTGACCCCACTGGGAATGTGATTAAAGAAAAAAAAGCTGAAATAAATAATTCTCTATACTATTATTCTGACATTTCACATTCTTAAAATAAAGTGGTGATTACTAGGATTAAACTGTTGTGCTGATTAAAGAAGCAATAAAACAGTCCTTCTTGAGACTAGTTGAGTATCTGGAGCATCAGCAATTGTCGGTTTGATTACAGGCTCAAAATGGCCAGAAACAAATAACTTTCTTGTGAAACTCGTCAGTCTATTCTTGTTCTGAGAAATGAAGGCTATTCCATGCAACAAATTGCCAAGAAACTGAAGATCTCGTACAACGCTGTGTACTACTCCCTTCACAGAACAGCGCAAACTGGCTCTAACCAGAATAGAAAGAAGAGTGGGAGGCCCCGGTGCACAACTGAGCAAGAGGACAAATACATTAGAGTGTCTACTTTGAGAAACAGGCGCCTCACAGGTCCTCAACTGGCAGCTTCGTTAAATAGTACCCGCAAAACACCAGTCTCAATGTCAACATTGAAGAGGCGACTCCGGGATGCTGACCTTCTAGGCAGAGTTGCAAAGAAAAGCCATATCTCAGACTGCCCATCTTAATCTTTTCTTTTTATTGGCCAGTCTGAGATATGGCTTTTTCCTTGCAACTCTTACTAGAAGGTCAGCGTCCTGGAGTCGCCTCTTCACTGTTGACGTTGAGACTGGAACACAGGACTGATGGTTGCTGATAACGGGCCTCTGTACGCCTAGGTAGATATTCCATTAAAAATCAGCCGTTTCCAGCTCAATAGCCATTTACAACATGAACAATGTCTACACTGTATTTCTGATCAATTTGATGTTATTTTAATGAACAAAAAAAATGCTTTTATTTCAAAAATAAAGACATTTCTAAGTGACCCCAAACTTTTGAACGGTAGTGTACTTCTCCCCATCTTAGCTACTGTAGTATCAATATGCTTTGACCATGACAGTCTACATTCCAGGGTTACTCCAAGCAGTTTAGTCTCCTCAACTTGCTCAATTTCCACATTATTCCTTACAAGATGTAGTTGAGGTTTAGGGTTTAGTGAATGATTTTACCCAAATACAATGCTTTTAGTTTTGGAAATATTCAGGACTAACTTATTCCTTGCCACCCATTCCGAAACTAACTGCAACTCTTTGTTAAGCATTGCAGTTATTTCAGTTGCTGTAGTAGCTGACGTCTATATTGTTGTGTCATCCGCATACATAGACACACTGGCTTTACTCAAAGCCAGTGGCATGTCGTTAGTAAAGACGGAAAAAAGCAAGGGGCCTAGACAGCTTCCCTTGGGAATTCCTGATTCTACCTGGATTATGTTTGAGAGGCTTCCATTAAAGAACACCCTCTGTGTTCTGTTAGACAAGTAACTCTTTATCCACATTATAGGAAGGGGTGGAAAGCCATAACACATATGTTTCTCCAGCAGCAGACTATGATCGATAATGTCAAAAGCCGCACTGAAGTCTAACAAAACAGCCCCCATAATCTTTTTATCATCAATTTCTCTCAGCCAATCATCAGTCATTTGTGTAAGTGCTTGTTGAATGGCCATCTCTATAAGCATGCTGAAAGTTTGTTGTCAATTTGTTTACAGTCAAATAGCATTGTATCTGGTCAAACACAATTTTTTTCCAGTTTAAATGCATTTGGCTAAGGTGTATGTAAACTTCTGACATCAACTGTATCTAATCAAGATATATTAGTGTTGTAATTTTTATAAAATTGTTTTAAATCATATAATTGTTCTTCCACTTTGACATTACAGATTATTGTGTGTGGATCATTGACAAAAAATGACAATTAAATCAATTTTAATCCCACTTTGTAACATAACAAAACGTGTAAAAAGTCAAGGGGTGTGAATACTTTCTGAAGACGATTTTATAATAAAATAAAATAAAACGTTTGTTGTGTGAGTAATGTGAAGGAGCACTGTTACATGTAATATTAAATCATGTAGTTACCAAGTTTTGTTTTGGAAGTAACAGAAAGCTCACATACCACATCATTTCCTAGTAAACAAAGTAAAGAACAGTTGAAATAGGATTTTGAAATGGAGAGACCAAATAATATTGGGACTAATGTTATATTGTTTTTTATTACCTTATCTGACTGTGTTGACTCGGATAACACACGTGCATTGATGGTGTCCACCACCAGGCTACTGGCTGCCATGACAGCCTGTGTGTCACTGGTGAGGTGGAGACTGACCTGGAATCAGTGAGGTAGAACAAATTGAAAGACTGCACTCAAATGTGACCATAGATGTATCTAAGGGAGGAATAGAAAGTGCTATACCTCTTCCATAGGAAAGACTTGGGAATAACCACCTCCAACAGCACCACCTACATAGAAGTCATAATCAAAGTACATTTTATAATTGTTTAAACATGTGTGTATAATTATCTTTACAAATGTGGGAGTAATGATTAATAAATGATTAACAAACTATTTACAAATCGATTATAAATGGTTTATGACAGAGTACACTTTGCGGCCTGAAAACCAACTTGAGAAACACATGGTTCACTTTAAGTTTACCATAAATTATGTGCTTTTAATATGTGGAAGGTTTGTGAATGTGAATGAGACTACACAACAACAACTGTGTATGCTATCTTGTGATTCGTCTGATTCGTCAGAGAAAATCTTGTGATTTGTCGGACAAATTAGCTGGATTTATATATATTTTAAAACAAATTAACAACTGGGTCATCCAGTTGTGAAATAAGTTAAAAGACAGAAACACCAAGCAGTATGTTTAGTCTAAAAAAACTCACCTTTGACCCCAAAGTTTGAGCCCTGGCTGGGTTGGCGTACACAGGCAAAACTGTTGACATGAAAGTGTGCCCCTAGGGCCTGTGCCAACCCCAGAGTGGTGGTTGTCTTTCCCTCGCCCAGTGGCGTTGGCGTGATCCTGCAAGGAGGAAGTCAAAGGCCTTACAGATACGATGTTGTGCCATTTGTCAGAATTTGCCGTTTCCGGACACAGAGGCCAGGGCATATCCCATACAGGCTCATAATGACCTTTCTGTGCCAATGTTAATTGGTACACATACTGCATATCGGTATGTGATGTGACCTAGAGTATTGGGTACTGTCCCATTGGGCCCAGTCTTTCAAGTTTTACTACCCTTACCCTGTGACCACCAAATATTTCCCATCAGGCTGTGCCTTGAGGCGGTTCATGACCTCCAGACGAACTTTGGCTCGGGTCATCCCGTAGAGCTCCACCTCCTCTGAGAAGAGGCCAACCTCCCTGGCCAGACGGCCTATTGTCTTTGGCGTGAAGGAGTGTGCGATCGCGGTGTCACTGAAAAAGGTCACACTAGCTACAGCATGTGGAGAGCTTCCTTTGATTGATACTGTAGTGGCAATATAAAGATATAACTGTATTGGCTGCATTGGTTGACTGACTAAATGAATGACTGACTAAATTATTGGCTGACTGATCGATTGATTCATCATTTAATTTACTGATTATCACGGGGTCACCTATATGAGATAAGTGTAAAAGGCACAACTGTGGCAAGTCCTCTAAAGTGTGTGAAGATGTAGCAAGGATATCAAGTCTATACCTGGGTTGAGGTTTCTGTGGCTTTAGCTTGGCATAGGAAATGTTCCACTTTCCTGGCTGGTACGTCTTGAGAAAGCGCTTTGCACTCTGGACAGTGTTCTAGAAATGACAAAGAAAGACAACACGAGATGAAATAGTTAACAGTTGTTGATTTTATTTAAGAAAAAAAAATCCCCAATGATGATCAACAGTTAAGTAAAATCATAATAACATAAACATCCTCATTTAAAACTACACAGAGAAAAAGGGCCCTCAAAAGCAATGAAGGAGAAAGACACAATGTGTCCTAAATGGCACCTTATTCACTATTTAGAGCACTACTTTTGACCAGGTTCCATAGGGATCTTTTCAAAAGTAGTGCCCCATATAGGGAATAGGGTTTCATTTGGGATGTAGCCAGTAAGTGCATAACTAGGGCCTCCATTTTAATTACAGTAACAAATAATAGATTTAAGGTGGTGTGAAGTACTTAAGTAAAAATACTTGAAATTAGTACTAGTTTTCTGTACTTTACTTTACTATTTATGTTTTTGTACTTTTTACTCCATACATTTTCCCTGACACCCAAAAGTACTCATTACATTTTTAAATGCTTAGCAGTACAATAGAATGGTCTGATTCACACACTTATCAAAAGAACATCCCTGGTCATCCATACAGCCTCTGATCTGGTGGACTCATTAAACACATGATTCGTTTGTAAATTATGTCTGAGTGTAGGAGCGTGCCCCTGGCTATCCGTGTATATAAATAAAAACAAGAAAATGATGCCGTCTGGTATGCTTAATATAAGGAATTTGAAAATATTTATACTTTTACTTTTACTTTTGATACTTAAGTATATTTCAAACCAAATACTTTTAGACTTTTACTCAAGTAGTATTTTACTGGGTGACTTTCACTTTTACTTGAGTAATTTTCTATTAAGGTATCTTTACTTTTACCCATGTATGACAATTGGGTACTTTTTCCATCACTGTAGATTTACTTCTGTGTTGTTGGCAACATGACAAAAAAGAATAGCTGCAAGCAGCCATGGCAGGGTCAAAGCCAAGATATTTATGTGGTAATGCCTATAAAATAGACTGTCAAGAATATGTACGAACAAGAAAAAGTCCTATCTATTATTTTGTATTAATTTAGTATCTTTATCTTAGAGAGGAAATTAAAACAATTTAATCAGGAATGTTAATTGTCCCCCGTGGCTCAAAATGAGTTTCTGTGCATTATAATATAGCCAAAATTTGTTTCAGACAAATTATTTGAAAACAAAACTGATAACTACACAAATGCAAAAAGCCAAAATAAGTCTGTTTGACGTTCATGTGAGAAAGTAAATTGAATGCACTTCGTCAATATTGAATATATATTTTTTGCCCGAAAAAAAAAAAAAACACTCAAAAGTAATATAATTGAATTTATGACAGCCTACCTCCATGAGCATAGCAACGGTCATTGGTCCCACTCCCCCGGGCACAGGGGTAATAAACCCAGCCTTCTCCTTGGCAGAGGGGTAATGCACATCCCCCACCACCCGCGTCCCACTGGCTTTGCTGTCATCTGTGGGGGTCAAATGGTCAGGGTCAAAGTTCAAAAGGCTGAAGTTGATGGTCACTGAGAACCCAAGCAGTAGCCTGGCTACTGGACATTCTACATTCAACATCATCACATTGTTGCATTAATGACAAGTTGGCTAAAGCAGAAACAGACTGGCACCAGACAAGGAAGAATTTAAAAGGAGACTTCTGCTTCGTTCTAATAGTGTTAAATGGCTTCCTCTCCTCCTCTCCTGTTCTTCATCACCAATGATCGGTAAGGACACTGGATGCTATTCAAGACTACCTCAATTACCTCGACTAACCTGTGCCCCTGCACATTGACTCTGTACCGGTACCCCCTGTATGTAGCCTCGCTACTGTTATTTTACTGCTGCTCTATTTTTAACGTATCTATTTTTTACTTTCAACACATATTTTTCTTAAAACTGCATTATTGGTTAAGGGCTTGTAAGTAAGCATTTCACTGTAAGTTCTACACCTGTTGTATTCGGCGCATGTGACAAATACAATTTGATTTGACTTGATGTAGCCCTTGGGTTGTGATTGACAAAATAGTTGTTATACATACCTGGGATGTGGTTGATGCCACAGTCAATAACCACAGCACCCTCCTTCAACCACTCGCCTTTCACCATCTCCGCCTTGCCTGCACCCACCACCAATATGTCTGCCCTTCCCACCTGGAAAAAGGGTTAAAATGTCATACATTCACATAGATTTAGACCCTTTAGGTCTCAGTCTTATTGTTTTAGGGTATATCTTTACATCTTAGAAAATATATTTTAACCATTTTCCAATCGTTTTGTTCTGAACAGAACCATTATTATTTTCGTTCCGTTCCACAGTTCGGACCAGCAAAATAAAGTTCTGAACTGGTTCACATCCAAAAAGTACGGTTTATATAGTTCCTTTCTGTTCTGTTTAAAACCTCTGAAATCATATTTTTTTTACATTTAGCTCGATATTAAATTACTTCACCAATCAGTGTGGATAATGCAGCTTACAAGCTATAGTTGTTTACATTGGACAGACAAGTGTAGGGCGAGAGATGCAACTGAAATTGTGGGGAGAGAGGGTGGCAAAGGAGGCTTGGTTTGACATGCGTTACCTGAATTAGTTCCACAGAATTATACCTACGGAGGAGCGGCTTTTATGGAGGAATTTTTGCTGTCTTTGAACTTCCGAGATTTGGCTTAACATTGGACCAAAGCTAGCTAACAAGCTTGTGTGTGCAAAGCGGCACCTGAATAAAAATAAAAATGCGTCTTACCTTTTTGTAATTAATAAATCCAATAGCAAACATGATAACTAGTATCCTTAACTAGAATTGAAAAAGTTAATCCATTCCCCTCTAATAAAAAATCTTTCTCCCTAATTTCTAAATCACGTTTGTAACATCAGTAGGCTACAGTAGCCTATGCTACGGAGGGGGAGGAGCATGAAGCCTGCACACGCTCACACACCGGGCGGCAGGTAGCTTAGTGGGTAAGAGCGTTGTGCCAGTAACCGAAAGGTCGCTGGTTCTAATCCCCGAGCCGACTAGGTGAAAAATCTGTCGATGTGCCCTTAAGCAAGGCACTTAACCCTAATTGCTCATGTAAGTCGCTCTGGATAAGAGTGTCTGCTAAATGACTAAAATGTAAAAATGTAAATGTAATGTTCAGCTGGCAGGCAGACACTGGAATACGTTTCTGAGTGACATAGTGAGGGCTTTGCATAAGCACTTTTGTCGTTTTACTCGACACCGTATGTATGTATGGAGCATAATATCTTTACTGTTTTGTACTGGTGACAAATGTATGGAGCATAATATCTTTACTGTTTTGTACTGGTGACATATCATGCATTTCGATTCTTGCCTAAATTGTAATGGACACATATGATGTGTGTAAAATACTTTTTTGAAGGTTGTACTGATTATGATGAGCTAATGCTAAGCTAATTTCCAGCTATATTTGGCGCCATGTTTGTTGACATCATACAATGCATTCTGGTTGTCGAGTAAACATCTGTTAGACCAAAGATGTTATAACAAAACGGGGTGAAGGGATGGTTCACTCGTCTTTTGAGTAAACTTCCGGAAGTGAAAAATGGAAGTGAATGATGGTAGATGACACACCCCGTTCCACATGCATACTGCAAACAGACCCAACTCATCTTGTAACCTCTTATTTTTGGTTGACACAAACAAACTACCCATCGCCGGATTACTTCCCATTTTTAGAAAGTATTTTACTGAATTATTTCGTTCACTGCTGGTGAGGTCACCCGTGATGTGATGAATTGTAAATAGTAATTGCTATTTGCTAATTCATATTATATGATTTCTGTCAGCCGAGAGTTAATTAAATATGACCGCTTGTGTTAGGTCACTCTTTCCTCAATTAGCGCTATGACTAATGTAGCCCACATTTTCCGGTTTGGATGACAATTGTGTTATGCTGTTTCTACTTCAGTGAATGTCTGAACATTGCATCCAAAAATAAACTGCTCACATTGAGGACATAACATTGTAAAGACTGTGTTTGTGCAATATGTTTCTGTGAAAAAACAGTGTGGCCAGATCAAATGCTGACTGTTGCATCAATCGTAACTGGACGTTCTAAATACGTGTTCTAATCACACCGGTTTGAGCGTACACTGCAGGGACAACTGTAGAATGATCACACCAGTGTGTTCGTAGGTCTCAAAGGGTTAAAATAATGGTTCTGTTCCGAAAGAGTATAGATCACTTTCGTTCCCAGTTCTGATTCTGTTCCTTGAAAAATGTCATTATTTTCTGGTTTTCGGTTCTTGTTTCCTGAACCTGTTCCAACCCCTAATTTTAGCTAATTTATATATACAGTACCAGTCAAAAGTTTGGACACACCTACTCAATCAAGGGTTTTTCTTTATTTTTACTATTTTCTACATTGTAGAATAATAGAGAAGACATCAAAACTACGACATAACACATATGGAAACATGTAGTAACCCAAAAAGTGTTAAACAAATCAAAATATATTTTATATTTGAGATTCTTCAAATAGCCACCCTTTGCCTTGATGACAGCTTTGCACACTCTTGGCATTCTCTCAACCAGCTTCAACTGGAATGCTTTTCCAACAGTCTTGAAGGAGTCCCCACATATGCTGAGCAATTGTTGGCTGCTTTTCCTTCACTCTGCCGTCCGACTCATCCCAAACCATCTCAATTGGGTTGAGTCGGGGGATTGTGGAGGCCAGGTCATCTGATGCAGCACTCCATCACTCTCCTTCTTGGTAAAATATCCCTTACACAGCCTGGAGGTTTGTTGGGTCATTGTCCTGTTGAAAAACAGTCCCACTAAGCCCAAACCAGATGGGATGGCATATCGCTGCAGAATGCTGTGGTAGCCATGCTGGTTAAGTGTGCCTTGAATTCTAAATAAATCACAGACAGTGTCACCAGCAAAGCACCCCCACACCATAACTCCTCCTCCTCCATGCTTTACGGTGGGAACTACACATGCAGATATAATCCGTTCTCCCACACCGTGTCTCACAAAGACACGGCGGTTGGAAACAAAAATCTCCAATTTGGACTCCAGACCAAAGGACACATTTCCACCGGTCTAATGTCCATTGCTCGTGTTTCTTGGCCCAAGCAAGTCTCTTCTCATTATTGGTGTCCTTTAGTATTAGTTTCTTTACAGCAATTCGACCATGAAGGCCTGATTCACACAGTCCCCTCTGAACAGTTGATGTTGAGATGTGTCTGTGACTTGAACTGCAATGTCTGAGGCTAGTAACTCTAATGAACTTATCCTCTGCAGCAGAGGTAACTCTGGGTCTTCCATTCCTGTGGCGGTTCTCATGAGAGCCAGTTTCATCATAGCGCTTGATGGTTTTTGCGACTGCACTTGAAGAAACTTTTAAAGTTCTTGAAATTGTCCATATTGACTGACCTTCATGTCTTAAAGTAATGATGGACTGTCGTTTCTCTTTGCTTATTTTAGCTGTTCTTGCCATAATATGGACCTGGTCTTTTACCAAATAGGGCTATCTTCTGTATACCCCCCTACCTTGTCACAACACAACTGATTGGCTCAAACACATTAAGAAGGAAATAAATTCCACAAATTAACTTTTAAGAAGGCACACCTGTTAAATGAAGCTGGTTGAGAGAATGCAAAGAGTGTGCAAAGCTGTCATCAAGGCTATTTGAAGATTCTCAAATATAACATATGTTTTGATTTGTTTAATTTTGGTTACTACATTATTCCATATGTGTTATTTCATAGTTTTGATGTCTTCACTATTATTCTACAATGTAAAAAAATGCTGGCTCATGGCTTGGTTTTTGCTCTAACATGCACTGTCAACTGTGGGACCTTATATAGACAGGTCTGTGCCTTTCCAAATCATGTCCAATCAATTGAATTTACCACAAGTGGACTCCAATCAAGTTGTAGAAACATCTTAAGGATGATCAATGGAAACAGGATGCGCTTGAGCTCAGTTTCTAGTTTCATAGAAAATGCCTGAATACTTATTTAAATAAGGAATTTCAGTTTTATTTTATTTTATACATTTGCAATAATTTCTATAAACCCGTTTTTGCTTTGTCATTATGGGATATTGTGTGTAGATTGATGAGGGAGAAAAACAATTTAATCAATTTTAGAATAAGGCTGTAACATAACAAAATGTGGAAAAAGTCAAGGGGTCTGAATAAATGCACTGTATATGTATATATATACAGTGGGGGAAAAAAGTATTTAGTCAGCCACCAATTGTGCAAGTTCTCCCACTTAAAAAGAAGAGAGAGGCCTGCAATTTTCATCATAGGTACACGTCAACTATGACAGACAAAATGAGAAAAAAACTCCAGAAAATCACATTGTAGAATTTTTAATGAATGTATTTGCAAATTATGGTGGAAAATATGTATTTGGTCAATAACAAAAGTTTCTCAATACTTTGTTATATACCCTTTGTTGCCAATGACACAGGTCAAACGTTTTCTGTAAGTCTTCACAAGGTTTTCACACACTGTTGCTGGTATTTTGGCCCATTCCTCCATGCAGATCTCCTCTAGAGCAGTGATGTTTTGGGGCTGTCGCTGGGCAACACGGACTTTCAACTCCCTCCAAAAATTTTCTATGGGGTTGAGATCTGGAGACTGGCTAGGCCACTCCAGGACCTTGAAATGCTTCTTACGAAGCCACTCCTTCGTTGCCCGGGCGGTGTGTTTGGGATCATTGTCATGCTGAAAGACCCAGCCATGTTTCATCTTCAATTCCCTTCCTGATGGAAGGAGGTTTTCACTCCAAATCTCACGATACATGGCCCCATTCATTCTTTCCTTTACACGGATCAGTCGTCCTGGTCCCTTTGCAGAAAAACAGCCCCAAAGCGTGATGTTTCCACCCCCTGGCTTCACAGTAGGTATGGTGTTCTTTGGATGCAACTCAGCATTCTTTGTCCTCCAAACACAACGAGTTGAGTTTTTACCAAAAAGTTATATTTTGGTTTCATCTGACCATATGACATTCTCCCAATCCTCTTCTGGATCATCCAAATGCACTCTAGCAAACTTCAGACGGGCCTGGACATGTACTGGCTTAAGCAGGGGGACACGTCTGGCACTGCAGGATTTGAGTCCCTGGCGGCGTAGTGTGTTACTGATGGTAGGCTTTGTTACTTTGGTCCCAGCTCTCTGCAGGTCATTCACTAGGTCCCCCCGTGTGGTTCTGGGACTGATCATTTTGACCCCACGGGGTGAGATCTTGCGTGGAGCCCCAGATCGAGGGAGATTATCAGTGGTCTTGTATGCCTTCCATTTCCTAATAATTGCTCCCACAGTTGATTTCTTCAAACCAAGCTGCTTACCTATTGCAGATTCAGTCTTCCCAGCCTGGTGCAGGTCTACAATTTTGTTTCTGGTGTCCTTTGACAGCTCTTTGGTCTTGGCCATAGTGGAGTTTGGAGTGTGACTGTTTGAGGTTGTGGACAGGTGTCTTTTATACGGATAACAAGTTCAAACAGGTGCCATTAATACAGGTAACGAGTGGAGGACAGAGGAGCCTCTTAAAGAAGAAGTTACAGGTCTGTGAGAGCCAGAAATCTTGCTTGTTTGTAGGTGACCAAATACTTATTTTCCACTACAATTTGCAAATAAATTCATTAAAAATCCTACAATGTGATTTTCTGGATTTTTTTCTCTCCAATTTGTCTGTAATAATTGACGTGTACCTATGATGAAAATTACAGGCCTCTCTCATCTTTTTAAGTGGGAGAACATGCACAATTGGTGGCTGACTAAATAATATTTTCCCCACTGTGTATATATATATATATATATATATATATATATATATATATATATATATATATATATATATATATATATATATATATATATACACACACATACTGAACAAAAATATAAACCCAACATGTAAAGTGTTGGTCCCATGTTTCATAAGCTGAAATAAAATATTCCCCAAATGTTCCATATGCACAAAAAGTTATTTATCTGGTGCTGAGGAGTATTTATGTCTGTAATGAAGCACTTTTGAGTGGAAAAACTAATTCTGATTGGCTTGGCCTTGCTCCCCAGTGGGTGGGCCTGGCTCCCAAGTGGGTGGGCCTGGCTCCCCAGTGGGTGGGCCTGGCTCCCAAGTGGGTGGGAGCCAGGCCCACCCACTGGGCCCACCAATGGCTGCACCTATTGCCCAGTCATGTGAAATCCATAAATTAGGGCCTAATTTATTTATTTCAATTGACTGATTTCTTTGTATGAACTATAACTCAGTAAAATCTTTGAAATTGTTGCATGTTGCGTTTATATTTTTGTTCAGTATATACAGTATATTTTTTAACACACATATTGCATCTAAATAAAGGTTTTTAGCCGAATGTATCATCACTGAGCACATTTGTGGAGTTAGTTGATGAAACCAACTTTTTTAATGACAATTGTGGATCTATTAAAAAATAAATGCACTAAATGGTGGTCAATGATTCAAGAGGAGGTGACGATTACAAGAGGGGACCATTTCATGCTTCAACAGATGCAGAAAAAAATTAGCGAGAGGAAGGACATGACCTTTCAACCAAGTGATTATAGGATGGGGGTTGGGATGCTAGCCTGAGTCCAGATATGTTTGTGCTGTTCTGCTGTCTCTTTATTTATATCACTGTCACACCAAATGACAGCCATGCAGTTGGCAAGACAGCACACACAGATTTGGGGTCAGGTTAGAGGGTGTTACTTGGGCAGCCAGGTCAGTTGTTTTGGAATGACAGGTAGTCACGGTGGCATGGCTCCATAGAAGCAGGTCGTGCATGGGCGCTCCCACAATCTTGCTACGGCCAATCACCACAGCGTTCTTCCCTGCCACTGACGTGCCTATACGTACAGATAAAATTGGTGACCATTACACATTGCTCCATTTCATTCTCACGCACACACTTGGCAATTTTGATGTGATTAATTGTTTTTCATTAAATCAAATCAAATCAAATGTTATTTGTCACATACACGTGTTTAGCAAATGTTATTGCGGGTGTAGCAAAATGCTTGTGCTTCTAGCTCTGACAGTGCAGTAATATCTAACAAGTAATATCTAACAATTTCACAACATATACCCAATACACACAAATCTAGTAATTATAACGTACATTTTTATTTTAGAATGTTATATCATGAAAATATTGTCAGGTCAGGTCATACAGTATGAGAAATGTGTCAGTAAAGCACAAACCCAATTATGACCCTGACAAGCATCCTAAACAAGGAAAAATCTATACTGCCTTTATGTATCCAGTTTCGTGCTTTTGTGTGTTTCAAGGGAAGTGTTTGTGTATTCATCGGCTACTATACAATAATCTCCATGGCAACAGTAAGAGGTGTGTGACCCTCACCTGTCTGACTAATGAGCTTCATGCAGCCGTTAGGAGTACAGGGGATGAAACAGTCCCCCAGGTCACCCCGAGAGAGCTTCCCCGCGTTGATACTGGTCAGCCTGAGAACACACAAACCATACAAATCTATACCATCACATTTCACACGCAATGGATGCTAAGGAATAGGTAGCATCGCTCTCTCTCTTGCTCCCCCCCCCCCACTCTCTCTCTCTCTATCTCTCTATAAAACACACACACACACACACAACCAAACAAACAAATGCAGACTGTGCCACACACACTCCCATAAACTGAGAGCTTCTGGAAATGTTCTAAACTCCCAATCGGCGGAAGGTATTTTGGGGACATTGGATTGATATTGGGGCCTCCTCTGATTTGTGTCATAGTTTATACGACCTGCAGAACAAATCACTACCACCCTAAGATGTGGACAAGGAATCAATTTTACTCATCACTCTCCTTCACAGTCTAAATTGGACCAGCTCCATTTCCAAGCTCTCCCACAAGCTGAGAAATGACTTGTACAAGTCTGCCTAAACACTACCCAAACCCCTTCAAAGGGTCCATTGTGTCACCTCCAACAAATCTTACTGATGCGCTAGCTCGATCACATACCCTCCAAATATTTGCTCTAGTTACACACCAGTGCTTGAATCAAACGGCTGTGTACACACTACAACAAAGATACTGCATTATTTGCCCATAGGAGGTCAGTGTCCCAAATGGCACCAAATTCCCTTTATAGTGCACTTCTTTTGACCAGAGCCCAAGGGTGCCCAAAATGCCATGACCATAGAAGTTGGCAAGACAGCACAAACAGTTCTGGACATTTGCGAAATGTTGGCTGAAACCAGACCGAAGGGAGTCAGATGGAACTGGAAGAGACCCGAGCCTCAGGGAGATGGTGTGGTGTGTGAAAGTGTGTGGGAGTTTTGGGGGGGGGGGGGGGGGGGGGGGGGGTCATAGTGGTGGTGGGGTGTGTGCGTGTGTGTGTGTGTGTGTGTGTGTGTGTGTGTGTGTGTGTGTGTGTGTGTGTGTGTGTGTGTGTGTGTGTGTGTGTGCGTGTGTGTGTGTGTGTGCGTGTGTGAGTGTGCGTGTCTGCGTATGTGTGGGTGTGTGTGTGTGTGTGTGTGTGTGTGTGTGTGTGTGTGTGTGTGTGTGTGTGTGTGTGCGTGTCTGCGTATGTGTGGGTGGGTGTGTGTATGTGTGGGTGGTGTGTGTGTGTTGGGTGGGTGGGGAAACTCTTATTATGACCAATAAACATATATTTTATATATTTACGGCTGACAGACGTATCTTTTGCTCAGAGACTGAGGAACAATGAAACTAAATAGAGACTGATTTCAGCAGGGCATGTCACTCTCAAGAAAGGTCAACAGAGTCCATTGGGCTAATACGCTGCTGGATTGCAAGTGCAGTATAATGACTCTCTTGTGCTAAAATTAGGTTTGTCCCTCAAATATAAAGAACTATACGCTGTATTAATATATACGTATTTTTTAAGTGTAAAAAAGTAAACGATTGATTACTTAAAAACCCTGGTGACTTAAAAACCAAGACAATTTCCTCACTGCCACTGTGAGCTTATTGTGAGAGGGTGTGACTGTGTACGCTAATAGTAACAGTAGTAACAGTAGGCCTAGTACTCACAGTACAAACAATAGTAATAGTGATAGTATGTTTCGATGTTAATATCAATAGCAGCATACAGGGGTTGGAACCGGTTCAGGGAACAGAACAGAAAACGGGAAAAGAACGACATCAAGGAACAGGATCAGAACCCGGTACGAAAGTGATCTATACTGTTCCAGAACAGAACCGTTATTTTAAAAGCATGGGAACCGGTTAATAACGTATTTCATTTTAACGATATAAACCGGTACGTTGTGGGGGGTTCGAACCGGTTCAGAACTTTATTTTGCTGGTCGAAACAGGGGAACGGAATGAAAAAAAGAATGGTTATGTTCAGAACGAAACGATTGGAGAATTATTTAGGTTCCAAACCCTGGTAGCATATGCAGGCTTCCTGTGAGAGTTGTCACTCACCCATCCACATCCTTTTCTGGGGCCACAGCATTAGTCACCTTCTCTGTGTTGATAGAGTTGATAGAGTCCAGGGGCAGCTGGACAATGAGGCCATGGACCTCTGGGTTCTCATTGACCGCTGCAATACTACGGAGGACCTGTGTAGGCCAAGGTTTTAGAGTGGTGGTCAGGGATTGGTGAGGAAGTGCTAGTACAGAATAACAACATAGCCCTATTATTCAAATAATATCAAACTTGTTTAAAAGTTCATATCTATGGATTAATCACAATATCAAACTTGCTTAATTTTGTATATTTCAAATGCTTTACAAGGCCTGTATTTTTTTGCTTAGCTAGAGGATTCAATGGCCCTCTGAGGCAAATGTGCCTAAAGTTGTATCCATATCTATGTTATATTTTAGATGCTCCTTGTTCAGTCTCTTCCCACTGGGCACAGATGTCAATTCAACGTCTATTCCACGTTGGTTCAATGTAATTTAATTGAAATGATGTGGAAACAATGTTAATTCAACCAGTGTGTGCCCAGTGGGTTCAAATACACACACTTCTATGGCCGTATAGGGGCATGCATTTCAAAACATAACATGGATCTAGTAGCTGTAGTCCTTACCTCATCCTCTGTGGCAGTCTTTGGCAGTCTGACATGGTTGGCATTGATTCCAATCTATAGAAATGGTGGCAGTGATTAGCATTAGCTTTAGCATTCTCATTGCAAGTATACAGTACAGATGACATCAAATAGCTAGTATGTGTTACCAACGCCCTCTGCTGCCACAGTGCTTACCTCAGCTGCAGCTTTTAGCTTCATGCTAATGTAGAGGTTAGAATCATCTCTGTCACCCACCTGAAACACACACACGTACAGTCCTGTATAACTAACCTAACCTTAACCCTAAACCCCCTAGAAATACTATTTGACCTTGTGGTTGGTCAAATGTAGGTTTGTTTACTATTCTAAGTATAGTAAACACATCCAGAGATGCACACACCAAATAGGATTTTACTAACAAAAAAAACTAGAATATATGTATGTTGTTTTCTCAAGTTACACAGTTTCAAAAGCTAAACATGGAGCTAGAATACTCTCCAGTTACACAACAACAACAAATAAAGAGCATGTATCATGTTCCCAAGTCTGTATAGCAGCTATCCTACCACAGAGTAAGTTGAGCACAAACTGATGAATAAATGTAGAGATTAAATTAATTATTAAATGTATAACTAAATGCAAATGATTCATTGTAGGTGATAAGACAGAAGGTATCCCTAAGAAATAGAAAACAACAATCTACTTGTGGTGTTTGGATACATGTACTCAACAAAACAATGTTTAGAATTTGAAACAAAAAAGAACACTGAAAACATTTCATTATTCACTGAGTGTACAAAACATTAGGAACACCTGCTCTTTCCATGACATAGACTGACCAGGTGAATCCAGGTGAGAGCTATGACCCCTTATTGATGTCTCCTGTGAAATCCAGAAGGGGATGAAGGGGAGGATTTTTCAGCCTTGAGACAACTGAGACATGGATTGTGTGTGTCCCATTCAAAGCGTGAACAGGCAAGACAAAATATTTAAGTGCCTTTGAACAGGGTATGGTAGTAGGTGCCAGGCGCACCAGTTTGAGTGTGTCAAGAAGTGCAACGCTGCTGCGTTTTTCACGCTCAACAGTTTCCCGTGTACATCAAGAATGATCCACCACCCAAAGGACATCCGGCCAACTTGACCCAACTGTGGGAAGCATTGGAGTCAACTTGGGCCAGCATCCTTGTGTAACTGTTCTGAGGGCAAAAGGGGGTGCAACTCAATATTAGGATGGTGTTCCTAATGTTTTGTACACTCAGTGTTTATTATGTTATTTTGAATGAATTGGGCCTCTGAATATTTTAGCAAAGGTTATTTAAGACTTAGTAGGGTTACAGAGAGGAAACCTCAGAGTTAGAAAACTAATCAACAGTAAAGTAGCCTAGAGTTATACGGCAGAAGCAAACAAATTACACTCACACCTTCTAGTGAGCAAAACAATCAACACATTTGAAGCAGTGTGGGAGTAGACGAGAAAAAAAATCATTAAGAAGTAAAGAAAAAGAGCTCAAAAGAACACACTCTGGTAATTAAATAAAGAAGGATACACAAAAGGGCCTTTCGCACTACTGAGCAGAGTTGAGCCAAACTGAAGCAAGCTGTACTGAGCCGGCCTCATTACGCCTCCACCACAGTTGCTGGAACTGTGCTGGGAAGTGAAAAGTAAAGTGAAAAGAAAATATACAAGCCAGGACGATACAGTTCGGTTTCGCAGGATAGTGTGAAAAGGGTAAAAGACACACCTGCAACACTACCAGACCTGGCCGGAAGCCAGCGAACTGGCCCCTCATCTTGTCCAAGTCCTCTTTCAACCTCTCCCTCACCAGCCTGTGTTGAACAAGAACAACCACATTGTAACATTGATAACACTTTCTATGAAGACGATATAATGCATTATAAACACACTCGTAGAAAGAACAACCACATTGAAACATTGGTAACACTTTCAATGAAGCCCATGCCTATAATGCCTTAAAAACACACTCATGAGAACGAACAAACACAATATAACATTCAGCACCCCATATCAAACTCCATGACCTCCAGGAGGCCCCTTCACTCCAACATACAGTAATACCACGGTGTCATAGGCTACTCACTGAGACATCTTGTTGCCCGAGACAACTGTCGCCAGGGTGCGCCTGCCTCCTCTGCATCCTGTGGACCCTAGACGGAGGGTGAGGGCGGCGAAGGAAATCATGGCTGACAACTGGAGAAAGATGGATGGATGGACAGATGGATGTAGAGACGAGGAGAAAGAACAATGGCTAGATGGTAAGGGGAGTTTAAGAGGCCCAGAGGACAGTGAAAGGAACTGCATCCACTACAACTACAGTGCAACAGATATCCCATTATGAACAATTGAAAACATCACAAGTGCCATTGCTTCCACATTTACAACTATAATAATAAATTACATTTGTAGAGCGCTTTTCATTTACAAATGTCAATCACAAAGCTCTTATAGAGCAAGCCAGAACACTGCAAACCCATACAACATATGACAACTGCCTCAAAAGTTACTACTATTGATTACAACCATGACTACTTGCAGAAGTTGTTAACATGCAACATTGCAATAGGTTATAATAATGTAATAATAGATTATAACTATATTATTATAAAAAGTTGAAACGCAAGAGATAGAAAAATTACTTACCAGAGTTAATGCAATGTCCAGATGTGGCTGTTGTCTATTGAGGACCAGGTCAGCCACCAAGTGATCCACACTCCAACATAGTGGTCTAGGAAACTCCTCCTATCAGTGTGTGCGTGTGTGTGTGTGTGTGTGTGTGTCTGTGTGTGTGTGTATGTGTGTGTGTGTGTGTGTGTGTGTGTGTGTAGCTCCCTCTCTCTCGCTGTCTATCTCTCTCTCTCTCCCTCTCTCTCTCTCTCTCTCTCTCTCTCAGTGCAACTGGGAGGCTTCCAGCAGTATCTTATCACAGTCTCTGGAGTTTTCCGTGGCATTCCTGCTTACTCCGGACTGAACGTGGTAGATAAATGTCTCCTTGTCAAGGCTATTGGGTTAGAGAGAGGGTATAACATAGGGAAAGTTGCAACTCGTAGGCTCAAACGAAAAATCCAGGGGAATGGGATTTGGTTAAACAGAAACCCAGAGGTTGGGAAGGGTATTGGGCCCTCCAACTACTGGGTCTACTTCCAGCCAATCAGAATCCATTCTGACAAGACAGTCTGAAATGTTTTTGGCAACCTAGCTTGTTTTTTTCCCTTCTTTACTACCAAAAGTCGCTACTTTTCCACTGAGTAAAAGCAATTCTTTGTATCCAAGGAAGGTTAATTTAGGTTGCTTTCTCTTCAGGAATGAGCCTGCCCCTCTGCTCTCTCACTCTCTTCCAGCCATAACTCTCTTTCTCTGCCCCTCCTTCTTCCTCTGCATGCCAAAGAAAACAAAACAACCTCCCGCGAGAACTCAGCTTTGGACGGAGTAAGAGGAAAGGCCTGGGACATGTTCATTAGGCAACAAACAGGAAAAAAACTGACTGGAACAGGGAGGGACTACTGAGGTTGTCCAGTAAGTAACACTTAATTTCATGTTCCATTGCAAAGCATTTTAAAGCATTTTCCATTGCATGCACTAATGAACACTGCTCTGCTAACCTTGTTGTTTCTCTGTGTACATTGCAATAAATGAGTCAGTCTGACTCACCTTTGTACAGTTTCACAACAGGGCATAGCCAAAGCCTCAGTGGGTGTTATGCTCTGTAAATAATCTCCACTACTACAACCAACACACACATTCAATAACTAGACTAGATTTACTGGAGTGAGTGCAAGAATCCTTTTGAGTTACAGAGAAACGATTTTCCAATATCAAGAAATCTGGAGAAACAAACTTATCAAACAGTTTGCATTTGGGTTGATGAAACCATGACTTGAAAAACAAAAATCTCCATTAGGCATTGCCTCAGTGTACATACATGTGTACTTTTCGCTAAACTTATTTGACTCAATTTTTGCATTTTTCTTTGATGAACTCAGTCAAAGGAACCGAACAGAACACACTTACAAAATGGAGCCATGATGTGAATTGAGCATTGAAGCCAGAATACTTTAATTACATATTGTTTATGAAGGTGTTATCAATTATTATAAACATATATTACATGAATTGTAATGCTTATAAATGTTCACAAACAACAATGACAGGTAATCTTCAAAAGAGACACGATTAGACTACCTGTAAAAAGTGGGTTCAATCTGCTTCTTACATATTTACAACACTTCATTGCCTCTGGTTTTGCTTGGTTGGTTGTAATGCCTTTTTTTCGCATGTTGTCTCCCACTCCTCCAGCTGTTTGATAGAGATAGTAGCCCTCTTTTAAGAACTAGGGCGCCCTCAAGTGTTTACTTACTGAATTACAGTGGTTTTGAAAATAATACAACCACACATGGACACCCTTGGTCGATCACAAAAAAACAGGCATAATTTAACGTGCTCCTGCCAGGATTAATATGATCCTGCATGGTGTCGCTGGATTTCTTAAAACGTTACTAACGGGAGATTACATCTGCGTGTTAAAACACACTTGATTGCAACCAAAACCCCACAAGAATAAACCAATAGATCAGTTGATATCTTGCTGTTACCATGTCAAGTGATATGATACTAGACAGCTGCGTCTATGTTCTCTACTCCCGCCCGGAATGAAATATCAACCTATCAGGAGTATGGGAAACGTAGTAATAATAATAATTTATTAAACTTCTATAGTACTTTTCATAATACAAATCTTAAAGCGCTTCATGAGCAAAAAAAACTAACAAACAAACAAACAAACAAACAATATATCATGACAGGTGTTTGACTAGGCTAAACTAGCTAGCTGCATTAGCTAGCTAGCTGTAATATGTAACTTTTTGGGAGACCCAACCAAATTCAAATAGAAATGTGTGTTATAGATCTGTCATTATCATTGAAAGCAAGTCTAAGAAGCGGTAGATCTGTTGTATGTGCTCTATTTCAATGTTTTCTGTTCGTACATTTCTTTTTTGCATCTTTTACTTTCGGTTTTGTACACCAGCTTCAAACAGCTGAAAATACAATATTTTTGGTTATGGAAAATATATTTCACAGTGGTTTAGATGGTACAATGACTCTCTACTTGCTTGTTTTGTCACAAACTGAAATCAAGCGAACTATTAGCATTTTCTACATAGTGCATCTTTAAGTGAAATATATATTTTTTAAATACAACGAA